GTTTCTTTTTTTTTATTCATACATTTTTTCGTTTTATCTGTATTCTTACGTTATTTTTGTACTGGTCATCTATGTTAACTTTTTTGTGTGTGTTTTTAACGTTTTAGTATTACTTTAGTTTTATCCTTTTTACTTGTTTTATCAGTTCATTTTAAGTTATTTAATTTTGTAACGCCCACTTAGGATTTGTATGTTATTTTATATTTTCCTTATATTGTACTTTCTCCCATTAGATTGGCTTGAGAATGAATTTAAGTTAATGAATCCGAAACGTCGCCTAATAAATATGATGGTCCCAGCCCTGGTGTTTCACTTCTTGATACGACTGCGCTTCCCACGCAATGAACCCATCAGATATATATATATATATATATATATATATATATATATATATATATATATATATGTGTGTGTGTGTGTGTGTGTGTGTGTGTGTGTGTGTGTGTGTGTGTGTGTGTGTACATATATAAATGTATATATATATATATATATATATATATATATATATATATATATATGTATCACACACACACACACACACACACACACACACACACACACACACATATATATATATATATATATATATACATATGTATATGTACATATATGTATATATATATATATATATATATATGTATATATATGATATAGATATAGATATATATATACTATATATAAAGCATGCGACTTTGTGTCGGGGTGTTCACGTGAATTTGAACCTCTTACAAAAATAAGTTCATAGTATATATATATATATATATATATATATATATATATATATATATATATATATATATATATATATACATCCACAAGATGGAAGATATCCTACACGATTTTGCTACGAAGATTGCCTCCTTGCCAAGATATCATGTACTGGAACCAGGAATAAATAAAAATATCAGTGAATTTTATAAATATCTATAATTAGGCCTACTGATTTCTGGCGGCTCCTAGTGGATGCCACAGCCTGGTTTGAGGTTTTAAAAGGGCGTTAAAGGCTTCTTAACTGAGGGTGGAAGGGATTTAGCAAGTTAAAGATGAAGCTTTGCAAGGAATCAGAATGGGAAATCGATATAAAGAGCCACTCGAACCCATTGTCTAATATCTATGGGAACTTTTAAAGAATCATTCATCAAATATTTCTACTGATGACACAACTGGTGGACACGGTGTTGGCTATACCACCTATACCACGGCGCATATGGTAGACAGTAGGGTTTCCCGGTGCGTGGTATTAAGTCCTCATGTCAAGGATAAAATCGGAGTTTAGAAGAGAAAAAATCCATCGTCATTTACCCACTTACAGTCTAACTCAATCATCCCATTTGGCAAAAACTCGCGTCATGACCTACATTAATATAAGTTCATTTCTTGTCTTTATACACAGATAGCTTTCACCTATTATAAATGTGTGTGTGTGTGTGTGTGTGTGAGTGTGATGTATGTTTATAAATACACACACACACACACACACACACACACACACACATATATATATATATATATATATATATATATATATATATATATATATATATATATATATATAAGGTAAAACTGGAATAGTGCGGCAGGTTATACACACTTTGCAACTCACTTTTGGGAGGACCAATATAGTGCTAAAGAAGGAAGCCGAACAGGAGACAGAAATATGCGCATCTCACTTCTCACTCTTTTGTCATGTTTATAGCCGCATTTGTACCAACCGTTAAGAGTTGATTTCCGTGTAAAGCACAGCATCGGGAACGCCAACTACAAAATGAAATTCAATATAACTTGACGCAGCTGAACAAAAGAGAGGCATGTTATATCTTGCATTATTTTCCAGGAGAGTCATTGTCTGCAATATGAATCAGCTCATGGTGTGGTTGTCAGTGACATCGCTACATATGCTGCTGGTGTTGTGATATTGTCATAATAAGATTTTAATTAGTTTATATTAATTTCTTACTAAAATGGGATAATTACAAAATGTTAAATGTTGGACTTCAATTGAACATTCGCTTTGTGGAACTGTAACATACATATGTTTTTAAGTGTTTATCATTCAGTTTAAAAGAATTTGCTGTTTTTGAAGTAACAGTTAATATCTGTAAGTAATTTCTCATTTCCTGTGATTTTTCTCAAATATTTCACAGACGTATTTTTTCTTTACAAACGGAACATTTTCAAACATCTGTAAATTTAACAGATAAAGATTGGTAGCCTGAATGCTAAAATTTTATCCATAATTTTTTTTCTCTCTCTCTGTACACATAACAAAAGTACGAAATTTCTGCACTTTCGTCGAGTGTTTTCCCCAAGTAAAAATACATTTGTAGTTGAATGATGGAGTCCAAGCACATGGGCAAGCGATTTCATTGGTCATCTGGGTTGACAATAGTAATCACGAACCGTGAATCACTCTTAATAACACACCCCGAGAATTGGAAGGGAATCTCCAAATATTATTGCGACAAAAAATCACCCAAGTCATCTAATTTGCAACTCATACCATCTTTGTTTATACCTCTTCTATCAGCCGCTAATTGGGGGCTGGCGTAGTGTATTACGAAAGGAGGAAGGAAGGCACTCATTTTTTCCTTTTCACTCTGGTCTAACATCGAAATCCAAAAGATGTTTCTGAGAACAGTAAGTGCAAAACTCCAGCATTTTAACACACGTAGAATAGTAAATGTAGAACAGTAAAGGTAAAGGTAATGCTACCATAAAGAACTGTGTTATTCTGATTTAGAACCCGTTTCAGAGACAATGTGTAACATTTTTTTTTCTTTTCTTTTCTTTTTTACCACCATCACGTATTTATTTAAATTCATCATATAACGAGCCCTCTAGGCACTTATGGTTGATGGTTCAGATATTTCGTACCAGAATGAAAAAAAAAAAAAAAAAAAACACCACAAAGACATAATACATTTTTTTGTATTCCATCGCAGCTCACTGTGGTCCTGGCGGTCGGGTTCCTGGTCGACGCCGAGGCCAAACCGGCTCCCAGTCCCATGGTTCTTCCTTATGGCGTCCCCGGCCCTGTCCTGCCTGGCATGCTCGGAGCCCCTGTGGTACAGCCAATGTCTCCAATGATGTCCCTCCGCGCTACTTGCTCCCATCCACCAATGCTTCCCATTCATCCGCCATGTGCCGAATGTTAGCCCAATCCACCAATGCTGCCTATGTTAGCTCCTCATCCTCCAATGCTGCCTATGTTAGCTCCTCGTCCACCAATGCTACCTATGCACCTGCCTATGTTAGCTCCTCACCCACCAATGCTTCCTATCCCATCGCCCATGCTTCCTGCACCAATGATCCCATCCATGGTTCACGGTCCGTTATTAGCGCCTCACCCACCGATGGTGCCGGCGTTTGGTTAGGCGGAAGGCGTGGCACCATTTCCACTGGCCCCGAGGTAGGCGCCGAGGAGTATTGTTGCTTTTATATAGGGGGATAGTGAGAGAGATAACAAATGGATGGGCACACACATACATACACACACACATATGCACACACACACACACACACACACACACACACACACACACACACACACACACACACACACACACATATATATATATATATATAACATTTTAAATCTTTCTTTCACAGAATTTAACTCCGACGACGACTTCGACCTGGAAATAGCTGTTACAACACAATCCAATATTTGCAAGAGAGAAAATGGAAAAAAAAGCAAATAAATAAAAAGATGCATTCATCTGTGTATATCATAAAAAAAAAAAAAAATATAAACCCATATACAAACATATCATATATATGCATATATATATGTATGTACATAATGTACACATACAACACGCATATATATGTGTGCATGTGTGTATATATATGTATATATATATAATATATATATATAATATATATATATATATATATATATTATATATATATATATTTATGTATATATATATAATATATATCATGTATATATATATACACATATATGTATATGTAAATATATATATATATATATATATATACATACATACATACATACATATATATATATATATATGTCAAATATTTCACAGACGTATTTTTCTTTACAAACGGAACATTTTCAAACATCTGTAAATTTAACAGATAAAGATTTGTTGCCTGAATGCTAAAATTTTATCCATAAAATATTTTTTCTCTCTACACATAACATAAGTACGAAATTTCTGCACTTTCGTCGGTGTTTTCCCCAAGTAAAAATACATTTGTAGTTGAATGATGGAGTCCAAGCACATGGGCAAGCGATTTCATTGGTCATCTGGGTTGACAATAGTAATCACGAACCGGGAATGAGTCTTAATAACACTCCCTGAGAATTGGAAGGGAATCTACAAATATTACGAGAAAAAATCACCCAAAAGTCTTCTAATTTTCAACTCATACCATCTTATCTTTGTTTATACATCTTCTATCAGCCGCTAATCGGGGGCTGGCGTAGTCTATTAAAATTCCTTGGAGGACCGTATAAAAGGCTCGAAAGGAGGAAGGAAGGCACTCATTCTTTCCTTTTCACTCTGGTCTAACATCGAAATCCAAAAGATGTTTCTGAGAACAGTAAGTGCAAAACTTCAGCATTTTAACACACGTAGAATAGTAAATGTAGAACAGTAAAGGTAAAGGTAATGCTACCATAAAGAACTGTGTTATTTTGATTTAGAACCCGTTTGAGAGACAATGTGTAACATTTTCTTTTCTTTCTTTTCTTTTTTACCACCATCACGTATTTATTTAAATTCATCATATAACGAGCCCTCTAGGCACTTATGGTTGATGGTTCAGATATTTCGTACCAGAATAAATAAATAAAAGACATAATACATTTTTTGTATCCCATCGCAGCTTACTGTGGTCCTGGCGGTCGGGTTCCTGGTCGACGCCGAGGCCAAACCGGCTCCCAGTCCCATGGTTCTTCCTTATGGCGTTCCGACACTGTCCTGCCTGGCATGCTCGGAGCCCCTGTGGCACAGCCAATGTCTCCAATGATGTACCCTCCAACACCAGCGCTACTTGCTCCCCATCCACCAATGCTTCCCATTCATCCGCCTATGTTATCTCATCCACCAATGCTACCTATGTTAGCTCCTCATCCACCAATGCTGCCTATGTTAGCTCCTCATCCTCCAATGTTGCCTATGTTAGCTCCTTATCCACCAATTGCTGCCTATGTTAGCTCCTCATCCTCCAATGCTGCCTACGTTAGCTCCTCGTCCACCAATGCTACCTATGCACCTGCCTATGTTAGCTCCTCATCCACCAATGCTTCCCATCCCATCGCCATACTTCCTGCAACAATGATCCCATCCATGGTTCACGGGTCCTTATTAGCGCCTCACCCACCGATGGTGCCGTCGTTTGGTAAGGCGGAAGGCATGGCACCATTTCCACTGGCCCCGGTAGGCGCCGAGGAGTATTGCTGCTTTTATATAGGGGATAGTGAGAGAGATAACAAATGGATGGCACACACATACATACACACACACACATATATATCATATATATGTATACATATGCACACACACACACACACACACACAACACACACACACACACACACACACACACACACACACACACACACACACACACACACACACACACACACACACACACATATATATATATATATATAACATTTTAAATCTTCTTTCACAGAAATTAACTCCCGACGACGACTTCGACCTGGAAATAACTGTTACAACACAATCCAATATTTGCAAGAGAGAAAATGGAAAATAAAAGCAAATAAATAAAAAG